AACCAAACAACTTATATTGATAAGTGTCTGTATAATTATGTATGGAGTTGTTTGGTTGATAAGTGTCTGTGGTTATAATTATGTATGGATATTAAGATATTATGTAGAATAGATATGGCATCTTCTATAATTCTTCTTCAATGTGAAATCGATATTATTTAATTCTAATATATAGGGAAATATTTCATAATAAGTTATGATCGTACAAAAAAGTGTTAAATATTTTATTAAAATTTAAAATCATGATTTTCTCATGGTCAATGAGATGTAGGGTTTCCAAGGGTGGGATCACCTCAAAATCTTTATTTGTTGGTAGGTAGAAAGCAAACTGCAAAATGTTATTTACAAAGAAGCTTTGTTATAATTTTAAAATTTTGAGATAAAGTTTATGTTCAAGTTATTACTTTGAAATATATGATTGCTGTTAAACTTACATTGTGTCGATTAAGTTTAAACATTCCCCGTCAGTTAACAGGTATTTCAGCTTGTAATCAGCATACTGCAACAGTAATTGGAAACACGCATCCCCATAACCAACTGTTACGTATCGGCTTGTTTGTTAATTTTCCGTATAAATTCTTTCCGAGGAACTTCAACGATACAAGTCCTTTCTTAATTAAAACTAAATTATTCTTTCTCGATACAACTTTGCAATACACAGAATTTCCACAGTCACTTTAACTTAACTACTTTTATAAACACACGCTATAATTCACAGCGATTCACACACTTTACTTACGGTGCCTACTGCTCGCTTGACTCGATTATTTCTCTTCAATCTATCACCGGCTTATATAGTAAAAAAGAGGGCGCCTAGCAAACGCTGGGACATTCGTGAGGTTGCCCGCGAAGTCACTATCCTTCTAGAAACTCCAGCGCGCACGCTCCCAGCGTCGCGTGACTTCCGCTGTCGTAACACAACAATCTAAAAACTGAACATCTAAAATATTTTTTTAAATAACGATTTTAAATTTAGATTTTAGTGATGTCTATATTAGCTTTCAACAAACTAGGTGCACATAGTAGTAGTTTTGATATTTTTGACTTGTGTATTAGTTCTAGACTGAAAACTAGAAACGAAATGAAACGAAGGAAAATTTTAAACACTGTCTTTGTTGTTTATCAACTTATATTTGATAAACAGTTTAAATCTTGTCATGAAAATACATAGTCCAAGGGAAACTTTAAAAAAGGACGTAAACAAAACTGTTATCCTGGTGGATAGGCGTTGTCATGGTGCAAGTCACGTTACTACTGATGTTTGATTTGTTGATTATAACTTAACTCTATTCCTAGCATATTAGATATGTTTTGTATAAAACGTGGATTTACTCTTTAGTTTGCGACGTTTTGACTAAGTTTTTTTACTTATTATTAACTATGCATTAAAGCAAGCAACCTAAATAGATCAGAACAAAAACCTAGCCCAGTAATTAATATACAGCTGACTTAATATACCGGTTCTAACTAGGAATTGATATACAGTGTTATAAAACAAAAGCTTATAATATTTATAATACATTAATTTTTATCAGTTGAGTATCCTCGCTTTTAGCGAAATTTGAATATTATTTTTTTTATATTAATCAAAGTTTTAATGTTGAAACCTTTTTTTCATTATACCCGTAATAGTCTCTCCCAGTTGAGGCTGTTCAACATATTCTGTTTATTTGAAGTGAAAACATTGAACATCTTAGCTTATTAAAATTAATTGTTAGGCCCCATACAAGTTCGTTTTTGATATAAAACTGGATCTTTTCGGAGGCCTTTACTTTACCTGAGGATGGAAGTGTTCTCTCCCATCACACTGGAATCTTGTTGAATATTAAAGAGAAGTCTGGAAACAGATATATAGAGAGGAATATCAATTGACAGATGTATAAGGGAGGTGGCCGATTACATGATAGTTAAATACAGAGATAAGTAAATATACACATAGCATATAAACCCAGAGACAGATATACAGATAGTGAAAAGATATTACTGAGTAATAGACGAAACGAGATATTTTAGGTAGAGACAGATACATTTATCAACGTAAAAGGGGTGACAGGTATATTGAGATATTTTAGGTAGAGACAGATACATTTATCAACGTAAAAGGGGTGACAGGTATATTGAGATATTTTAGGTAGAGACAGATACATTTATTAACGTAAAAGGGGTGACAGGTATATTGAGATATTTTAGGTAGAGACAGATACATTTATCAACGTAAAAGGGGTGACAGGTATATTGAGATATTTTAGGTAGAGACAGATACATTTATAAACGTAAAAGGGGTGACAGGTATAATGCGTCAATTACACCATTTGTGCTACAGCAGCGTATCTCAAACTGGAATCTTTCGGATCCCAAGAGGTCCACGAGTCATGTCCAAAATTTCATAAACATATTTTAAAAAATATGATTTGTACAGTAGAAAATATTTTTCGTCAAATTAAATGTATGTTACGACAGCGGAAGTCATGCGACGCTGGTAACACGTGATGAGATTCTCGAAGGATCGTGATTTGTCCTGGCAACTCTAGTCTGTTCCAGGCGCCCTCTTTTTTAGTATATAAGCCCGGCAAATAAAGTGAGATAATAATTAGATAGATAGAGAGATTGAAGATAAAAATAATCGAGTCAAGCCGTAAGTGTGTGTGAATCCCTGTGAATTATAACGTGTTTTTCATAAAAGTAGCTAAGTTAAACTGACTGTGGAAATTAAGTGTATTACCAAGTTTGTAACGAGAAAGAATAAACTAGTTTTAATCAAGAAGGGACTTGTATCGCTGAAGTCACTGGGAAAGAATTTAAACCGGAAATTAACAAACGAGCAGATACGCAACATGTATATGAACTAAAATTAAAAAGAAATAATTTTAGAATACAGCTTTTCATGTACATGGAATCTTTTTTTTTTCGAAACAAAAAACATCGATGGGTTTTGGGGTCCGCCAAAAAAAAAACTAAATGAAAAGGAAATCACGGGTTATTAAAGTTTCAGTACCGCTGTGCTAGAGCAAGTACTACAGACATCTGTATTAAAGCTTTATGTTATTCGTGTTATAGCAGTACTGTCAGTGGTCTTTATAAACATTTTATTGGGAGTACAAAAAAGTAACGCTTTCGTGTCAGTAAGAATCACAATGTAGAGAATTTAAAAAACCTTAAAATTATCTTCGATTGGGGCAGAGCTCCCCAATGGCGGTCTGTCCCCAAGCCATCCCGGTGGATATGCCCCTGATTACAGGTATTTGTATTAATACAGTCTACAGTACTAGTGGCGTTTCTAGGTTTTTTATTTGGGAAGCAGACAATGGGGTAAAGAGTTAGTTGGGGGGGGGGGCAGAAAGGAGTGTATCAGAAGGGGGATCATTGTTGTTAAATTACTCCATGCTATTTTTACACGGCTTCAGGCATAGTCAGATGGTTAGGTACTAATCTCAGTACCACCAAAC